TTCCCTATGGTCACTACATACAATCGAGATAATAATATAAAGTCCAGTATTCTGTTTGTGCTTAACGAGTGTCTGTGTGTGCTAAGCAATTTCCATAAATTATTTTATGAAAACCTTACGAAGTGTGAATAATGGAAGTTTTCAGTTTATTTGGAGGGTTAGTGCAGAGGTTCTCGGTGATTTTATACTCCTTTCCCAGGGGACATATGGTGATGTCTGAAGACATTTTTGAGTTGTCACAGCTGGCAGAGGGGGTGCTACCCGCACCTAGCGGGACAGCCGTCACACACATCAAAGGATTATCCAGCCCAAAATGTCAGTAGGGTCAAGATTGATACCTGGCTTAGTGGGAGACAGTATTACGATCTGCACTTACGAAGAGAAAACTGAAGCACAATGGGGGAAAGCATCGTGGCAAGGACACACCTCTAATAAGTGACAGAGCAGGGGTTTGACCCCAGGTCTGTCTGACCCTGAAACCCACACTCACAAGTCCTTGCACACACACTAACTTTCCACTGTTCACCAGAGAGAGTGGACATGTTCCAGCAGCACATTTTTTTCAATTAAGGGTTAGAAGGTAACTGGCCAGTTTTAACAGTTGCATCTCTGATGAGAATTGCAGCTCCTTACCGGTTTTACTTACTTTAAAGTACTATTGTTGTGGCTCCCTAGTCATACCCAGTGAAGACAAAACAGAGAATAAACTACAACTCCTACTCACCAGGTTACCTGGTCTGTATGTGTAAGTAAAGCTTTAAGTTTGTCTGTAATTTCCTGCATGTTTCAAAATTTAGGGATTTTAGAAATTAGGCATTTTTTTAAAAACTCATGCAGAAATAAATAAACTTGGGCAAAGTATACCTAACGTCAAGAACTCCATTAGCATTCCCATTATAAATCAGCCCAGGATGATCTTGGAGGCCTTGTGTTCATGTGATAAAATTGAACTATGGGAGATGAAAGCAAAGTAGCTTGGATTTCCTCCTCAGTGCCTCCCAGAAAGAATATTTGTATTTTTTTTCTGGATTTTTCTCAAATGGTTAGGTGCTTTTGAATGATGAGACTTTAAACAAAGTTAATTAACATGCATCTGTTGAGATTCCCTCTAAGCCGAATATTTAGACTTAATATCTGGGAATCCTTTTTCCCCAGATATTTGAAATGGTTATGAAATTTTATATTCGGCTACGTATCTTTAACTAGACAAGTAGAAATGAATACTGATTTTATCAGCTTTCTACCCTGTGTATTCCTGGGGGAAGGATGATTGATTTTTTTCCTAATTATTTTTATTTTCCATCAAAATAAGACATAGCTTACAACATCACATGACAATAGAAAGGCTTACAATGAAAAATAGTCACGCCTCTGCCACACCTCTTCCTATCCAGAGACTGCTCCCCAAAGGCTTTTCCTTTCAACTCTGTTCTCTGTTGCTTCTATTATTTACCTACATATTTCTATGTAAAATTATCATATTGCTATTCTTGTCACTCTCTGGATGAGAAGTTAGCTTTCCTACATAGCAGCTCCTTCCCTTCTTGAGGCATCCCCCCATGCTCTAAATGTATTTATACAGGTCCTCAATCCCTTATCCAAACCCTTGAGGCCAGATAGGTTTCAGAATTCAAAATCTGGAGGACTTTGGAAAGGTCAATAGAGTCATATACCATGTGTTACTTAACACCTCCAGTGGGATCTGAGGCAGCCCTCCATAATGAAGCACACAGTATTTCTGCAACAAAACATGAACATGGATACCAAGTAGGATAAATAAAGACTATAAACTCATGTCCGTTCAGGTCAGGTTTTGCCATCAAATGATGTTGCAAACTTACAAAAATCTGTTGCTTTGCAGAGCTTTTTGGATTTCAGAATTTTTTTTTAATATAAGGAAATATAGACCTAGATTATTACTTGTTTAAATCAGTAGTCGATGTTTACATTATAATGACAATGTAAATACTGTTCAGTGCTGAGTCAGCACTGGTATGGTAGGTGCATGTGATTATATATTTTTTTCATGAAATCCTTTGTTTTTCCTGGAGTAAATTGCCTTGTTTTATCATTCATTTAGTTTTCTGTGTACTCATGACTAATTTTTTCCATGCTTTAACAGGTCTGACAGATTGCCTATAAATATTTATTTTGTGGAATTCTCCTGTAATGCTCTGTCCTCCTCGACCACACGTGAACTGGTAGCTCTCTAGTCCTATTGTGTGGCTACCCCACTTTGACTTTCCACCATATTCTTTTGTCTTCCCCTTTCTTCGTTTATACCATTCATTTCAGCAAAGAATATTTTCTAATAGCTTCTGGAGAAAGGGTGGTTGAGAGTTTCTGTTTATTGAGTCCTGGTATTATCATTTTGTTAGGTAGAGAATTTTAACTTGAAAACAATTTTTACTCAGTATTTTTTTTTTTTTTTTTGCGGTACGCGGGCCTCTCACTGCTGTGGCCTCTCCCGTTGCAGAGCACAGGCTCCAGACGCGCAGGCTCAGCAGCCATGGCTCACGGGCCCAGCTGCTCCGCGGCACATGGGATCCTCCCGGACTGGGGCACGAACCTGCGTCCCCTGCATCGGCAGGCAGACTCTCAACCACTGCGCCACCAGGGAAGCCCTTTACTCAGTATTTTTAAGGCATCTTTTTTGGGCGTCTGGTACCCGGTGTTGCTATTGAGAAGTCGAATGCCATTCTGACTCCTGAAGTTTTAAAATGACACAGTTTTTCCTTCTGGATGCTTTTAGTATTTTTTTTTAATTTCTAGTTGTCTTAGTGTGAAGCTTTTAAAATTCTTGTGCTGGACATTTAGTGGGTATGTTAAATCAGAAGACTCATTTTCTTCTACTCTTGGAATTTTTCTTATATTTTACCTTTGATGATTTCCTCACCTCCATTTTATCTAATATCTTTGCAATTCCTGTTAGGCTTGGGCTCAGAACATCCTCCTCTGAAACTTCCCAAGTTTACACAAATAATGATACATATGACTTTTCCAAAGTTGTTTAATATCCTTGTATCTTGACATTGAAAAACCACCAAGCAATCATTATTGTTTTAACAATAGCGTTTGAGATTTATATGGAGAAATATGAATGATGTTACAGTCGTGTTTTTTCTCTGACCACCTCTGAAAATACCGTAATGAAAATGATCTGTTCTATTTTAACAGACATCGAGGGGAGCATAGTTAAAGTATGAGACCATTGACTGTTGGAAGAGATTTCACCCCTGGGTTTTTTCCTTCTGTTTATTAGCTCTGTGGTTATGGCTGAATCATTTAAATTTCCCTGTTCCTTAGTTTTCTCATTTATAAAATGGATATATTATTATTATTATTATATTATTATGAGGATTATATTATTATGAGGATTATTGTGAGGATTAAATGAATTATATTATTCATTATATTATGAGGATTAAATTATTATTTTATATTATTATGAGGATTAAATGAATTAATGTATGGGAAGCCCATAAAAAGGTTCAAGGCAGACTTAACATAAACAAGAAATTTTAGGTATTATTATTAGAATGATGATGATGATGATGAAGTTCTGTAGTTTTTTAGATGGTGAGAATAATAATGCTGATCGCCACATCTGCCTGCCCAGAAGGGCCCAACTTCAGGTCTGCCAGCCTAGGTGTTTGTTTGCCTGCTAAGTTATCTGCCTTTTCCCCCAGTGACTGCAAATGTCAGGAACAAAAGACAAGTGCTGCGGGCTTCCCAGTGTGGAGGATGGTGAGCCTGCACATAAGCATAGATTCTAACAGCACTTAAAAAGATAAATAGTCAGTATGATTATACATCAACAAAGTCTAAGAATGACAATAATAATGTGATAGGATGATGGAATGTTGATTGTTTTCAAAGCTAAGTTGTTTTTACAATAAATAAAAGAAAAAATAAATAAATAAAAGAAATGCCCAGAATTCCAAGCACTGGACATACAGAAAGGAAAAAAACTAGTAGCTGAGGTGGGAAGCAGCCGCATAGCACAGGGAGATCAGCTCGGTGCTTTGTGACCCCCTAGAGGGGTGGGATAGGGAGGGTGGGAGGGAGGCGCAAGAGGGAGGGGATATGGGGATATATGTATATGTACAGCTGATTCACTTCGTTATACAGCAGAAACTAACACACCATTGTAAAGCAGTTATACTCCAGGGACTTCCCTGGTGGCACAGTGGTTGGGAATCTGCCTGCCAATGCAGGGGAACACAGGTTCAAGCCCTGGTCCGGGAAGATTCCACATGCTGCGGAGCAGCTGGGCCCGTGTGCCGCAGCTACTGAGCTTGCGCTCTAGAGTCCATGAGCCACAAGTACTCAGCCCATGTGCCACAACTACTGAAGCCCACGCGCCTAGAGCCCGTGCTCTGCAACAAGAGAAGCCACCGCAGTGAGAAGCCTGTGCACTGCAACAAAGAGTAGCCCCTGCTCGCCGCAACTAGAGAAAGCCCGTGCGCAGCAACAAAGACCCAATGCAGCCGAAAATAAATTAAAAAAAAAATCATACTCCAGTAAAGATGTTAAAAAAAACAACAACCAGTAGCTGAGAAAGCCAATATGCCAGGTTAAATGCCTCACCTAGGACTCCAAACTTTTATTATAGTGTAGCTTTGTGACTTGCTTTGACATTCTCTTTTATATTCCCTCTAATCTTCTGCCTAATTTTCTTATCATTGCTTTGAGGCAAGTTTACGTTTTAGCCTGCTGTGTAATAACTGAGATGGGATGAAAGAATGGAAGAGGTCAAGTGGCAGGTCCAAGTAAGAAGGCAGTAGGAGTCAACTTTGAGTCTGTTGTCTTCTCAATAGGAATGATGTTCCCGACGTTTGGCGACATCCACCTGGCCCCCTTTTCTGATGAACAGCTGTACTTGGAACACCACTCCAGAGCCAACTTTTGGTAACGTTCTCTTCTCTCTTCCCCTCCTTTCAGAGTAAAGCAGAGTTCTTAAACTGTTGACATTGTGGGTCATATACTGGCGTCAGGGGCTGTCCTGTGCACTGTAGGCTGTTTAGCAGCTTTCCTGGCATGTACTTCCTGGATGCCAGTAGCACCTTCCCCCTAGGTGTGGCAACCAAAAATGTCTCCAGACATTACCAAACATCCCCTTGGAAGGCAGAATCACCCCCTGTTGAGGACTACTGAAATAGACAAATAAGGGAGCCGGTTAGACAAAATCAAACATCCAAAAAACTGCCCTAATGCTAAAATAATAGCATCCTCCCCCTGCCTGCTGTTCCTCCCTTTCCACTTCCTCCATCCGTTCTTTTGGCCCAAGGCTATGGCTTCTGCTAGAACTTGCCTTTGTCAGAGAGCAGATCAATCAATATACCTTCATGTAAATGAGTCGATCCGAAAATTTTTGGAGCTCCCCTACTGATTAGCTGTTGACTTTTGGGCAGTTCACTTCATCGTCTGAGACTTGGTTTCTTCCATTGGTAAACACAAAACTCCTGCCAGTTTGAAACGACCATTCCTTCTGCCTTTCTTTCCTGAGACTGGTTTTTATAAGGAGAAGGAGGGGGGGAGAATGACAATATTGGACCTGTGGGAGGGAGCAACAGAACAGACACCATCCAAGTGGGAATGTGAGGCACGTAGGAGGGAGCACAGCATGCACCGGCAGGTGGGTGAGGATGTGTACTAAAATGTAAACTTTTCAGTTCTGGCTAAGGATGCAGAACCATCCAACAGCAATATCCAAAGTTGATTTCCAGGGCTTTCTCTTTGTAATGCCATCCCTTGGTGAAGGGGCAGGAAATAGGAAGTGCTTTGGTTCCCCACATTACAAAGTGCTATGAGTGAGGTCAAAGGGTTATGATTTTTCTTTCTCCCCAGTTTTTTCTTGCAAAACAGGCTTTCCCACCACAGTTTCATAACCTTTAATGGCTTCGATTCAATCTGTAATTTTGAGACTACAAGCCACAGAATTTCCAGTGGGGGTGAATGGCCTCTTAGTGTGTATGTGTGTGGTGACAGAGGGGGCAATGATGTCATGTAAGGTCATGCTGACCCTAAATATTTCTATCTTAAATGGAGAGGTTGGAGAGAGAGGAATTTCAAGTGACAGAGTATGCCAGACTTATAGGGGAGATTGGTTGTCCAGGCAGTTTTTATGTGATCTCCCAGCAGTACCATCTGCTGCACTGGTGGTTTTGGCAGAATGTCTTGAGAGAAATCAAGGAGGCGGCGGGGGTGGGGGTGGGGGCGGAGTTGGAGACTGTTGAGTATAGACACCCCTTTTGAGGAATCTCACTGCAAAGGGAGTTAGAGAGATGGGTGGTGGCTGACCAGGGAAGTGAGGTATAAAAAAGGTAGTTTTTTTAATGGAATAAATAGAACATGTTTGCATGTTTGATGGGGAGCCCAGCCAGTCCACTGTGATTATTAATACTCTCTAGGCAGTAAGAACTCCCTTGATGAGCTCACCCATTCCCACAGTTCAAATACCATCTCTATGCTAATGATTTCCGAGTGTATCTCTCCAGACTTGTCCTGTGAACTCCATGCTTTTCCATAGCCAACTGCCTCCTGGACGTCTGCCCTTGGACAGACGCACCATGTCCACAGCTCAACTCCCGATCTCCCCCACTGCCACCCCACACCTGCTCTACACACGGTCTTTCCACCTCAATTGCTGACAACTTTATCCTCCTAATCATTCAGGCTCCGAATCTTGAAGGCCTTCTTTCTTGGTTCCCCATACCTAAACCATTAAGGAATTATGTTTGTTTTACTTCCAAAGTACATTTGACCCCTGAACAACACAGATTTGAACTGTGCGGACTTTTTTCAATAAATATATACTATAGCTCTACATGTGAATCTGTGCATGTGGAGCCATGGATACAGAGGGCTGACTGTAAAGTTAAAGAGCATTTTTGACTGCGTGGAGGGTGGGTGTGCCAACAAACCCCCCTTTTGTTCAAGGATCAACTGTATATCCAGAATCTGACCGGTTCTTCCTGTATTTACTGTTTCCCCTTGACTGCAACACTATTATCTCTCATCTCAGTTATTATGGTAGTTTCTTAACCTGTCTATTCCAACATCCCCAAAGCCCTCCAGTAGGTTCTACCCAGTCTGGCTCCTCATTTTCTACTGCTGTGTTCGCTCCACTCCAGCCTCCCAGACTTCCTTGCCCATCCTCAGGCGTACCTGACGCACTCCCACCTTAGGGCCTTACATTTGCTCATCCTTCTCTGGAATACCTTTCCCTCCAGATTCACATGGCTAATTCCTTCAACTCCATAAAGTCTTTGTTAAATGGCTTCTCAATAGGACCTACCCTGACCACCATATTTAAAGCGGCAGCCATACCACTCCTAATCCCACTTATTCTGCTCTGTATTTTTCCTCCAACACTTATCGCCTCCTAAAAGACTTACTTATTATTGTTTATTGTCCGTATCCCTCCTCATAGAATGTAAGCACTGCAAGAGCTGGAATATTGTCACTGTTCACTACCTATCCTGCCACATGGTAGGCCCTCAATAAATATTTCTGATAAAAACTCCTGTGATCTCAAGCATGTATGGAAGTAATTACCATCAAGATGTTAGTTGATACCTTTCTCATTTTTCTTTTTCTTTATAAAATTAGACTCATACCATAAATACCATTTCATAGCGCTTTTTAAAAACGTTATTAATACCTTGTTGACATGTTCTCAGGTCTTTTAGATATTATTTTGCTGCGGAGTATTTCTTGTGTGGCTCTCTTGTAATTTATCGACTCAAGATCCAATGTTGGGTATTAAACTATTAATTATAATTTAACCCTATACATTCTGTTAAGAAACAATACTAAGGTATTGTTCCTATATTCCACAAGAATGTAGAATTTTATAGGCTTCTATAAATTCTATAGGAAACAATGCTAAAGTGAACATCCTGTTATAGAAATCTTGTACATTCTATTACCTTACAATAAATTGCTAGAAGCAGAATCACTGGACCAAAAGGTGTGAAGAAAGAACTTTAAAAAAATTATTCTGGGTCTTCCCTGGTGGCGCGGTGGTTGAGAGTCCGCCTGCCGATGCAGGGGACACGGGTTCGTGCCCCGGTCCGGGAAGATCCCACATGCCGCGGAGCGGCTGGGCCCGTGAGCCATGGCCGCTGAGCCTGCGCGTCCGGAGCCTGTGCTCCGCAACAGGAGAGGCCACAGCAGTGAGAGGCCCACGTACCGCAAAAAAAAAAAAAAAAAAATTATTCTTATATGTTGCCAAATTGCCCTGTAGAAAAGCTTTACCAATTAACACCTCCACCAGTGGTATATGAGAATGTCTGCTGAGTCTTACCCATACAGGATATGTTCTGTTAAATGCCAATTTGATTTGCCAAAAAAATGGTGGCCGATTTATTTTTAATCTGTATTTCTTTGATAGCTGGTGCATTTGAATGGTTTTATTTTTAGTCAACAGATACACACACAAAATTTTTTAATATATAGTTATCAAAATTCATAGCCTTCACTCTGTTTCTACTTTCTGTCCCTTTATAAGGGGGTTTCTGCATTAGACTACTAGCATGAAGGCCCTCTGTTGTATCGATCCAAGGAACAGGTGGTGAAAGCTTGCACGATTTCTGATTTCCATTAGAAGAGGCAAAGAAGTGGATGCTGGCTGAACGGAGGGAGGGGGATGCAAAAAAGTGAGTCTGGGTGTATTCTGAGGGAGTGGGCTGAGAGACTGAGGAATAAATAACAGGCTAAATAAATAAGATCCCCAGATACAACCCATCATCAGTCCTCACCTGACTTAACTATCAACAATGCCGCTTGATGCCTTTGACTCTTCACTTCGCTTCTGAGCCTAAGCCCGATTTTCTTCCTTCCTTATTGGCCCTAATTCTCCTTTGCTGATTCTTCCTCATGACTCAAATCTTTGATGTTGGATTGACTCCTGGTTAGTTCTTAGATGTCTTCCTATTTCTGTCTGTGCTCACTTTCTTACTGATCTCATTTAAAATACCGTCTTTATGTTGACAACTCCCATAGTTAGAACTCCAGGCCAGACTTCTCCCCAGAACCATAGACTTTGGATGTCCAAGTGGCTGGTGACAGCTCACCTTGGATGTCTATTGGGCATCTTAAATTTAATACATCCAAAGGCAAGCTGCTGATTTTCACCATCACCCCCTGCCCACCCCTGCAAAACAAACATAAAACAAGCAAAACAAAAAACCCTGCTTCTACTACAGTCTTGCAATAGCCTCCTAACTCATTTCCTATTTTTAAACAACAACCAGCACGATCTTGATAACACATGATTAGATCACGTTATTCCTCCACCCAGAACCCTCCACTGGCTTCCGATCATCTGCATAAGAACGTCCAAAGTTCTCCCGATAGATGGTAAGACTCCGCCTGATCAAGTTCCACCCTGCTGTCCCTCGGACATCATCTCCTGCTGCTTGCTCTCTTGTCCTCTCCACTCTGGCCTCATTGGTCGGGCTCCCTGCTTCCCCTCGAACATACTAGGCTTGCTGGCACCTCACTGCCCTTCCCTCTGCCTGAAACGCAGGTGTCACTGTGGCTCCCTCTCACCTCCTTCAGGTCTTAGCTCACCTGTCATCATCTCAGGGAGACCATCTGTCGTTTAACACTTGTAATCTCTTCCCTCCCGGAAGCCCTTATCCCACTTCTCACTTCCTTTTTCTCTGTAGCACTTATTATCATCTGCCATATATATGCTTTTACTTATCTGTTTTATTTCTTGGCCATCTCCCCCCATGAGACTACGAGTTCTGTAAGAGTGGCTGTTCTATTTACTGCTGTGTCCCCATCATCTGACCTAGATGATCATAATTGCTCAATACATTTTTGTTAACTAGAAGACAAATGCATTATTTATGAGATTTCTTTATATATTAAGGATATTAAGACTTTGTTGTAGCTTC